CCCCCCCCCCCCCCTCGCCCTCTACTGCGTGGGTGCAATCATCACTCCAGAAGTAGCCTGAGAAATTACTTTTATAAACATTCCACTTGTTAATTAGCGGTATATTAAGAAAAAGCAATATTAAACTTTACGAACAGTCATTTTCATCGATAATCCACGTCATAAAATGATAGCAGTTGGACTTATTCACTTGTGGATCGAATGACTGATCGAAAAATGGCGCGAAATTATCTTGGCTTGCTGTGCCGTCAATCCACACCAGTTTTCCACCATACATCCCACTTGGATCGCGATCCATATAACCACTGTATCGTATAAAGTATAATCCAAGCACTGCTCCAGCTGCTCCTTTAGCATATTCCGGATATTCTAAAAAAAAAATGAAGAAAAAATGCATGCATCCTTGTAAAGAAAAGGTATGTAAAAGAAAACCCAGTTTGGAACGCACCAGGTTTGCCGGTGTGATCATGCGTTTTTGCACTAAACTCGTAAGTCGCTAATAGCAGGAATGGTCCGTGCCCTGCAGCCTAACACTTGAGTTCATATTGGCGGTGCTTTGTCCCCCTCCGGCATGCAGAAGGAATGGCGTCGTTGGGATGAAGATGGTGCATTATGGAGTCGCACGGATTTCCAGACACATGTTTACCAACTTTTTGCACGAAGCCCGGTCGTTTTTGGATAAATGCTCATTTTCCGAAAAAATGAAAAATGCGGATTTTTTGAAGAAAATTAAGGTCCTTCGTCCTGTTTCAAGGCTTTGTGAGTGCTGCCATTTTTTTACTGCGTAACTGCTGTGTTAAACTTACCAAGTAATGCTGCGTAATGAAAATTGCGCATGTCTTCCAGTGTTGGCGCTATTGCTTCCGTTATATTGGCTTGGTTATATTTTTTCTTAACATTATTTAGAACATTTTCTGTGCTTGCATTGAGGTTCACCTGAACATCAAATCTGCATCAGGCAACGTATTTGCTCACCGGTACCGTATTTTATCGACACACTCTAATGCACCTAAGCAGCTGTTATTGGATGAGAGAAAGAGGAGGAATGGGAGGAGACTGTACATCATCGAAAAGCAGCCACTGTATGGTACAATTTCAGTCGCAGCAATCATCATCTGTAAATTAGACTGACTGGTGTAAAAAATGGGGCACACCTGCTAGGAAATGTGAAAAGCGCCAGAGAATGATGCACGGAAAGCGCCGTTGAGTTGCGGCATATTCCCAGTGAAGAAATGCACACGTCTGGCATGAAAGACCGTATTAAGGAATGCGTGCCGGTATGACCAATTGGTTAGATTATGCGGAAAAATGGTGCTGACTTAAAAAACGCTAACCCGATGGGATGAACGTAATGTGGAGTGAGCACTGAAATGGCCGACATTGAAACAGGGCTTCATAAATAGCAGTCGTGTTAATTTTCACTGGACACAAAAGATGGAAACTTGGTTGCTGGGATGCAAAATCATGTTCAGTGAAGTAAACCGGGACTGCTATGCTCCAACAAAAACAGTGAGAAATATATTTACTGCTTGAGCTGTCTCTCCTCCGATATTTCCGATATAATTATGAAAATCATAATCAGCCAGCTTTTGAGGACGATGCATAAGCAGCACTCGAAGTAGCAGCTGAATTCCGAAATTTAGACAGCTGCTCTAAATCAGCTGCTCAGCATAGCAAAAATTGTCATAATTCTCACGAATACTAATCTTTTGTTTCTAAATTTCAAAAGACGAACATACTTCTTTTTTCGAAAATTCATAAAAATAGCAAGTAATTTTATCTGTTGCTGAGTAACGATAAAAGGCACGACCACCACCGAGACATCCTAAAATAGTCTGCTTTTTAGTGACCCGGAAACTGCCAAACTGCTGAAGTCAATTAATCGGATAAACTGGAAGGAAAGACAAGGAAATGGGCAAAGTTAAGTAATTAAATTAAGCCTACTGGGACGAAGCACTGGGGCAAACAAATGAAATACCAGGGTTGTGCTGGTGCTTGATAGCACCACATCAGTGTACTAACTTAAGTTCAGGTATTTTTCGAAAAGGAAAAAAAAAACAAATTTAAATTTTGTGATGCTTAGAGGTTGATGATGCTGTTTGCATCAATTAATAAGCTAACACTTGAGCGACTGAGTTTTTTTACCGGTTGCTCTGCTATGCTGAAACCCTTCGTTGATTAGAAGAATCGCCGCATGCTGTTTCCAAAATGTCAAGACCAAACACCATGCCTGCCCTATAGGCAACACCGCGTTAACGGCACTAGCAAAGATTGCAGAATGCATTCACCGAAGATATAGAGGATGCGAAGAAAATTGCAATAAAAGCAACGGGCAGGTCTCTTGTTGAAGGCAGAACTCCAGAGAAAATTTTCTAAAGAAATTTTACAATCTCTTTGCCCAGTTTTTGAACGCTTTAACTTGAATTTTTACACTTTTCCATGAATACTGAAACTTTCAGAAATAATTTACTCGCAGTGTGAAAGTGTGACCTTCCGAAACACAATGCACCTTTTACTGTAAAGAATTTAATACAAACATCTAAACTGAAGCAAATGAGAACAGCATGGTAAAACTGACGAGAAAACTCGACACAGCTTGTAAGTAATGTTGAAAGAAAAAAGCAAGCAACCGTAAGGAACCACATTAATAGAAACAATGACTGCACAGACGAAATCTTTGCATTACTTAAAATTGCTTTTTCAACAAGAAAACATATATTAGATGAATCATGCGTCGGTCGGATTCTACTTCCATCTCAGTGTTCCAGCAGCGAAGGCTGTGCTATCTTCCCCGGGAGCAGAGGTCTTCACAATAACAAATAGCTTTCGCAACAGGGAATCAACGGAAGCGAACACTTTTTTGCCCTCCGTGTCACAAATTAGCACACATTCAGATTCGAGGAGAGAACACAGCTGAAAATGCAATTTGTTTTGAAGTCTGTTGTCTCACACAACCTGGTTTCTTCTTCCAAGGTTTGTAAATGGTTTCTTGGTTTGTAAATTATGAAGTTCGTTTAAATTTGCGATTCAGAAAAAGGATCAGGAGCAAATCTTCTGAAAGCTTGTTTCCATACACAGACACACAAACGCGCACATACACAAGACATCACAAGTCAAGGCACATATTTCTGCATCCTAATGCAGGCAGGAACGCATAAAATTTGGCTTAAAGGAGCGGAATTTACCGGAAACGCGCAAAAGATAAACTGAATTTGGACAGTTTGGATTAGGGACTAAATGTGCAATAGTTATTGCAGTAACAAAAATATTTCGAAAATCCTAGTATATGTTTATACGGTTAAATATTGGACATATTTTAGTTACTGAATCAGCAAAACTCTAGCCGAACAACACAGAATCCTACCAAAGTTTTACTTTCTAACAAAACGGCATTAAAATGAGATTGGATGTACTAAAATACATCCAGGAAAAAATACATCTGACTGTGAAAAAAAAACACTTTGTCTAGAAGTAATTGAATAACAAGGAGCCGAAAAGTTGGCTTTACGAACCAACAAAACTGGCCAAGAAATTTCAAGGGACTAAAAAGGCTGTTCTCGAAAAATGGCTTTTTGAAAAAGAAAATTCTTCTAAATATACGATATCAGGCCTGTGCTAACAATGCAAAGCACACCAGTCCTGACTGGAACACAGAACGCCCTACGTCTTCTTGTTCAGACGGTACCAGGCCTTTCACCTGCAAAAGATTTCCACGATATCCGGCTCTCCTGCGCTCAATATTACTTACGATGACCGGTTCTAGTTTTAGGGGAAAGCCCTCTTTACCCCATTCACTATAGATAAAAACGCAAGGGAAAATTAAGATCAGTTATATTTTGGTTGGGAATGGAGGAAATTCAATGCTGCGTTAAATTTGCTTCTATATCAGCCTGGCTTTTGCATTCATATTCGTGCAACGCATACTTGATCGTATTTGAGTTCCTTCTCAGCTCCTGGCTATGATTGAAGGCACCACTTGGCGTTCCCATCATTTTCAGGCTGTGCATCGTTCGCAACAGCAGTAGTAGGGATTTCTTCTATGAAGGCCCGCATACGTCTGGCCGCTGCAGCGAATTCAGAATAGCTAACGCCATTGATAGCTGGGCGAAACCTTGCACCATACGAGGCTGAGAACTGCGCATAGTTGCTGGTTATAATGGGTTCTGCATGGGCAACTGATGCGGAAGACTGACTACCGTTGATGCCTGGCGAGGAATGTGTGTG